TCGGGGATTTTTTTATTTGTTTAATTTTTCTCACAGAATACATAAAGTGGGTGTTGTTGTCGCAGGCTGTTGTTTCTAATTGTAATGTTATCGAAACCGTGGTATTAAAGAAGAAGTACCAAACAACTGCTATACCAATAGTAAAATATTCTCATAGTGTAGTCAATCTGGCACGATTCAATAGGGAGCAAACCCAAAAGTACCATCAAGAGCGAGCGGGAAATTAATTTAACAAAAGTTTGTCCAACTCAACGCCGAGAACTTTACCTATCGCGTAAAAAAGGATGACTGAGCACCAACGATCACTTTTAGTAAATTGTATCACACAATAATATCAAGCAGAGAATTTTGGACAAAGGGTTTGTCGGGAAATAAGAAACTTGCCGATACATAGAATAAGCTGCAGATGTATAGTCTACCTGACATAAAGACGCTTGATTCTGATACAAATGATTCAGAAACACTTCCGAAGTGCCGCAAGTCCCTTGAAGTTATGGGAGAGCAGTTCGCTATGCTTATGGTATTAGTAGAAGTATATTGTAGCCTAACAGGAAGCGGGAAACCATAAGAACTTGCAAGAAAAGGTACTTCCGCTCCACTTTCTGCTGCCTGAAAAACTCTACACTACGCTTATATTTTGATAGCTTATGAAGTTATTCCCTAAAGAGATACTCTTTGTCTGCAACACAGCTAAGTTGATTTGGTTAAAGTGGGACATGAGAAAATGGCAAAAGCATACCTTGTTAAATTTAGAGAGCCACGCAGAATGATTAGCAGCACTCTACCACGCCTTTTGTATCAAGTCTTTTGATGAAGCAGCACCTGAAACAGAAAGCCATTTATTGTGTGAACGACCTGGCTTTTGCGAAATTCGGCAACAACTTTTGATTACAGGCTTTCTAAACGATGTAAACGCACCAGAAATAGTTGAAAATGCAGCAACTTCTCAGTTCGGGTGACTCCATGAAATCCATGAAGTGTTTGAAAAATGAGTGAGGCACTCGAGATCTTTTTGGTATGGCAACGGTCCCAGTTGTACAACTATGTGTATTGGGAGTAATACCAGAAGCCACTTGGATGTACTAAAGCATCGTTCACTCAAAATCGGCACGCATGAAATGGGTTATATCTTTTTAATAGGTTTTCAGAAAATAATATTTAATATGTTAGAATAAAGAGAAAACATTCCGTTATAGATACATGTTAGCGAGAGTTTCATATTTTGCTTGGATAAATAAATAAGAGACAATTTCTTTGATAATAATAAAAATTTTCTGAACACCCGCTCTAGAGACTTGTGTAGTCAACTTGCTCTACTAAACTATCTTAAGTTTATGTTTTTCCACGGCTCGCACATCTCTACTAATTTTGTTTTAATTTTGTTTTGCGAATAAAACTGTCAAATGAAAAGCCAGTACTATGAAATTTAAACCTCATAATGGTAGATCTATTGTCTAACGATCTGCATTGCAACTTTTTAATACATTCCAACAATTGATGTACAGAAATTGCTGGAACGCGTACCGATTTTGAGTGAACCATGCTTTAGGTGTTTACTTTTCGTGATTTTGTTGACTGTTTGGGATTTCTTCGGGACATATCCTGGATTTTTTCAGATCCTTCCGGGACTCTTCGTGTTTTGGTTTTCGTATATTAATAAAAAGTGGTATCTCTTAGAATTCTTTCAGAACTTTCGGTATTCCCGGTATTTATGGTTTGGGATTTTTTAAATACTTTTATATGCGGGATTGTTCGAATTCTTTCAGAACTTTTCGAGATTTTTTTGTAAAGTTTGGACTTTTTGGGATTAGGTATTTAGTGAACATTTAGTAATTTTCGGTACTTTTTAACCGACTTCAAAAAGGGGAGGAGGAATATTTTTACTTTTTTTTTATTTATGTAACTGCATAGCTTTGGGCCACGTTAACCGATTTCTCTAATGTTTTAACCGGGAAAGGTGACACCTCATAGATGGTCCCATACTAATTTGGTTTAGTTCCGATCATTGGCTTGAGGAAATTAACGATACTCTTAAATTTTTGTATGGGAATTGAAGTCAGTTATATTTTTTGCTTAAAAATTACTTGTTCGAGGTTTCTTTGGATCCCTAGTGCTTTATTTTTCGGTATATTTTGGAACTTTCATGAAATTTTACGGGATTTTCGGGACTTCTGCGAATTAATATTTTATTGAGTATTTACTGAGTACTACGCACTTTTTCGTATTTTCAAGGCCTCTCTGGATTCCTCTTGCTTTATGTTTAGGGATATTTTGGAAGTTTTCGAGATTTTTCGGAATTTTCTGCACTTACGGAGATTGATTTAGAAGCTTCTTTTCATAAGTTTCTCGCAAAATAAAAAGATTTTATAAGTTCTTAGCTTCTACTATTTTAAAATTCTGCGACTATTCGTTTATCTCATTTGCTTCCTGCTAAAAATTATCTTATCTTTTTTACGTGTGTGAGCACGCATACATATTTCTGCCTGCACAATTTTCCTTGGAAGCGCTTTTGCTCTGCTATTTGTAAATTAAGACAATCAGTGGCTCATATCCGTGCACATTTATTTGTACAGTGTTGCCAGCCAACTTCCTGACTTGGCTAATTAAAAAACGTGCCGCAACAATGGCAAACATGATGCTTGCGGCGACAAACGTACAAATAATCGTAAACAATTCAAGTAACAGGGCATATTTTCTCAGATAAAAAAATAAAGAGAATTCTGGCGAAGTTGTGAAATTATATATTCATGCAGATATATATATTTCACAGCATGTTAATCAAAACAAATAGAAAGCAGAGTGCAGTCGAAGTTGTCTGCGTGCAAAACCGCCAACAGGAAGCGGAAGCACGTTGCGGAAATGTGGCTGGCGAGTATATAAAATATATGTACGTTCTTCATTTGCGAGCGTATGGCACATCTATGTGTGTGTGTGTGTGTATGCCTGTTTTGTCTTAAAATGTCAAACGTTTTTAATCGCACTCATTTTCGTACAAATATTTACTTAAGTAGGCATTTACATGCGCGCACATGTCGCTATACATTTGTATATGTAATATAGTTGTATATGTATGTATGTTTGTGTGCAGATAAAATGATACAAAAAGGATGTATGCGAGTCCATATAATCTTAAGGCAGGCAGATATTTTTGTGTATAAATTTTTAATTGCATCCGCAAATGCCAGTTACAGTTAAATAACCGACAGTGACAGCTTAAATTGCTGAGTTAATCTGACAGGCCACAGCAATGAGACATACGATAAGCTGGCTATTAAAGTGAAATAAGTAGAATATATGTATTTACAAGTGGAATGTGAAAGAAAAATTACATTTTAATTGTGTTGATGAAGAATTTAAAGGAAGCGTCTCTTGTTAAGTATGCCACTTAAGCAGTTATTGGGGCCACATGGCGTATGAGTAATATTTAATAAGAGAAAATTGGCAGTCGCTGCGGAATAATAACTAAGAGGGAAGGTACTATTTGAATGGGAGGAGTTTACAATCAGAGGCGAAATTGTATAGGGAGGGAAATACGTAGATATAGAGGGGAAATAGAAATAGGAAATAGAAGTGGGATGCCAAAGTTAATTTGACTAGTAATAAGGATCTGAAATTTGAAAATAATAAAAGGACAAGAAAATACCATTAACTTTATTGAGAGGATCGTAAGATATATTTTTTAAAAGCTTAAATATAAAAACTAGATATAAAAACAGAACAAGTACCTTATCTAAACTAAGTAAAAGTGACGGAAAGAAAATTGATGTAGGGTTTTTAAGTTGTCTCTTTAAATAAAATACTCCGAAAAAGATAGACTTTTTCCAACATCCTGATATTTGCTGTTTAAATCAACCACTAACTACACAACCACTCAAAGCACTATACCAGCTCGCATATGTACATACCAGCCTAAATCGCCAGCAGATAACTCACAATCACCCAGCATAACCGTAACTCAAATTGGCAAGCGATTTTGCTAGCGGCCAAATGTTCCGCAACTAACGAGGCGGATAGTGTTGCTGCTGTGAGCGGAGACACCCTGAGGCTGTCGCAGCATTCAAAAATCGCCGAGAAAAAATTAGCAAAAAAGCGATGAAGTATTCGACACAGCGCGCAACTATCGACGTGTAAAATTAGGAGAGGTGAGAGGCGCGGTGTGGCATGAACCAAATTTAAATTGAAAACTTGCAATTCACTGCAATGCGTAGGCAGGTGTGTGAGTGGTAGGCGTCTGGTCGGTATGCGCTGAGCCGACTGTGGGCTCGTAAGCACAACTTGTGGTCGCTTGCGGCGTTGGAGTTGCTAGCTAGCGCCGCTTCGCCATGGATTGCACGTCAGACGCGGCATTGAGATTGAGTGATGCCAAAGGCAATGGAAATATGAAATTGGCCTCAACTGGATGAGTGCGCATGATGCTGTTAAAAGTTGACGCAGCGGAAAGCGAAAATTGAAAAATACCTTTGAGATGGCATAGGAAAGGATTGTCTGGCTGTCTATCTCAGGTGGAGAGGTGCGATGTTGGTCCGCAGATTATAAGTACATAACAACATTGGCAACCGCTGCCGATAGAAAGCGGATTAAGCCGCTGGCTTCGGTGTGTATATGCTGCTTTACAAACTCAATTACTACAACCATATACATCCATGGTGTCCTGTGTGTGTGTGTGTGTGTGTGATTTGACTACCTGTCCTACTCAGTTCGCACTGATGCACTTACCTTTGCACCCATTTGTAGTTCGGCATTGGATTGCCTTCGGCGACACATTCAAATGCGGCTGGACTGAAAAGTGGCGCTGTAGTAAGCCGATCTGGACCGGCTGAGACAATTTTCGGTGGATCTGCAAGTTGATAGAAATGAAGAATGAAAAGTGGCAAAAATATGTGCTGGTGAGTGAGTGATTGATGCAATGGAAAATTTTAAAGGTAACACGCGGAGGCGTTGATGAAAAATCAGAAAACCTTGAATGTGTAAAAAATATATCTGCTTAAGGAGTCAACTTACATTTAACGTCCAGCTGCACGGAGAGTTGCTCTGAGGTGCCTACAGAATTTTGTGCTTGGCATGTGTAGAGACCGGCATCTCGACGGCCCACAGGACGTAGTTGCAGGGTTTCCTGGAAACGTGAGAAAATAAACACGAAATTTAAATTAAAGGAGTACAATGGAACGACTTCTGAAAGAAGTATCGAAAGTGAAGAAAAAATACTTAATAACTAGTCAAAAATAATTAGTAGGTATGTATGTATATTGTAACCCACAGTGCTATGGGTATGTCGCTAGCTTATAGTTGATTTCCACCAAGCCTTAACTGCAGGAGATTACAACTCGTAGGGGGCAATTCCAACAATTAAGTAGAAGCAAACGAAAGGAAAAAACCAAAACTTAAGAAAAAAAACCTTTCCGATCACCCCATGTTGGTATTATTTGAAATTCTCTAGGGTCTTAACTGCACTTAAGCCTTTGGTGGAAATAGACTATTAGAGTGAAAAGTTGCTAATCCCACTTTTTATGAAAACTCATATTTTGATACAGGGGCTAGAGAAATAAAAAATGGCCGATAAGGCCAAAATAGTGCGAAATCTTTTATTAAAGAACTAATTCCTCTGTTTCTTATGGAGTTTTGTTGTATTCAAAGTTTTGCGAAATACTTGAAGAATATGACTATAAGACGTTTTTTCTTCTCTTTAAAAATTTTTAAAATGGGACTTAGCAACTTTTCACTCTAAGCTAGCGATGTTCAGGGCTATTTCAGGACCTCTTCGAGAATAGTTTAAGACTAATTTAGGAACATTTCGGGTCTTGTTCGGGATTGTTTCGTGACTTATTCAGGACTATTTTAGGACCATATAGGGATTAGGTGGGAATCATTTCGGGACCTGTTCAGAACCATCTAGAACATAGTTCTCGACTATTTGAGAACCATTTTGGACCTTGTTATGGACTTTTTTCTCACTATTTTAGGAACATTTCGTGATCATTTTCGGACTAATAAGGAACCATTCTAAGACCGTTTTAAGATTTTTTTGAGATCATATTGGGTCAAGTTCACGACTTTTATCGACAGTTTAAGGGCCTGTTTAGGGTTATTTCAGGACCATTTTGGAACCAGTTCGGCACCATTTCGGGAGGGTTTCGGAAATAGTTCGCTAATAGTTCAGGCCTATTCCTCGACTAGTTCTTGCTCATTTTGGGGCTTATTCATGACTATTTCAGGACCATTTCGGGAGCCTTTAGTATTGATATCATTCATTTGGATGATTTGATATACATATGTAGTTAAGCAGAGGCGAAAGGTCTACTCACGTTGTGTAAGCGAAGCCTTCAATACGATCTCTCAGTTATCAGCAATACTGCTACTTCACTGAGTGACATGAAGCAGAGGGACATGAAATAGTGGAAACAGCGCAGTAGTGTAGGCGGAATTATACTTTCCCTATAAGTAGTTAACGCAGCAGTCAGCTAGGAGATGGCAAAGAAAGTTCCCAGCATTTCCTCCCAAGAAACATAGCGTTTTTATTAAGGAAAATTTTTCAACAGGAAGTGCATCGAAATTGTTGTAGTCAGCTACAAAAAAGCATTGCAACTAACCAAAATAGACAGGGTGTGACAATATTAGCATGAGGACTTAGACAAATATGACCTCTATCTGAATAACAAAGTATTATCGTTTTAGATAGACCACAGGAATTAAAAAAAAAGTTTATCAACGTTATTATTTATGATAAACAAGGCAGGCGTACTTGGACCTAGATTCTAGTAAAGTCTGCCAATGGGTTCATTTGCAATCATATTGCGGGCGTAAATCTTCGCGAACGAAGACTATTCGAAAATTTCTTCGTGGGAGGATAATTGAGACCAGAATAAATATTATGTCGGATAGTCGGGAAGCATTAAAAAGCTTAGGTTCACTTAAAATGACATCAAGGCTTGCAGACATTTATAAAACTTGTTTGAATCGCCTATGAGCTCACAAAAGAGTGACGCTGTCGTAGGTCCCTGGACATGAAGAGCTTGAAAGCAACGTAAAAGCTATCCACCTCGTAAAAAGGGGAGCTCGTGGTCTTGAGCCTTCCTGCGGCACAGCCAAAGGTAACGCTGCATAAGTACGTAGGACTTAGGTGGAGAAGCAGAGCGCTGCCCATTGGCCGAAGTGAAAGGGAATGAGACACCCAAAGAAATTGGTATGCCTTCCACACGAAGCTCTGAATGACTCCTTGAACTTAGTCGGGAGAGTCTTAGAACTCTTACAGGCTATCTGTTACTGCAAGTTAAGGTACCATTTGAATAAAATGACCTTTCTGTAGAGACAGACGCAGGTTTTGTGGGAAGGCTAACTTATCATGCATTGCAGAGTGATACACTTAGCGAATATTCTTCATATTGAACCAAACTTCTATAGCCCTATGTTATTCGACGATCTGAATGCGAGTCCGAGGTCAGGTTTGAGGTCATTTAAAGGTCATATAGGAAAAAATTCATTGAATAAGCTTGAAAATTCATATATATAGGGTTTTAGACCCGCTGAAACCGAATTCAAGGTCCCTTAACCTCCGTAACGTCAGGTTCGAAGTCATTTGAGGGTCAAATAGGATAAAAAAATGTATTCAACAAAAATAAAAATTCATAACCATAGGTTGTTTTTGTCACTGAATCCGAATATGGGGGTCCCTTGATTCTTCAAAGTCATCTAGAGGTCATGCCAAGGTGATCTCAAGATCAAATGCAGAAGAATTGTATTAAATTTTCAGGTTTATTCAATGAATTTTTCCCCACTTGATCTTCAACCTTACGTGACCTGAAACAAAATTTGGAATGGGCTTAAATTTTTAAATAGCTTAAGGTTGGAGTGTTTACAATGATGGTTTAGCACAATAGATATTTTTGGATCGCAGCGCGAGTATACCCGGCGTAATAATAATAATAATATCCATGCCAAATTATAAAAAAGTTGCACAAGATGAAGCTCAATAGAATCCACTATCTACTTTTGATTCAAATCAAACATCAAACGCAACCGCATTTTGAACCTTTCCTCCACGTATTTGAGTCCTCGATGGGGACCATTTAAGTGAATCATAAAATAAAATATCTTCAAAAATTTATGGTTTTGTCCACCTTCATCTGCTGAGCACATTTTCTGTTTCTCTTTTAACAAATTGTCCTTAGCAATGTGCCACTAAAATCATAACAAAATTTCTCCCTTGTCAATTGGAACATAAGCTATCTGGTACATTGTCCATGGTATGTATGTACCTACACTAAATACAACTACACTGCAGCCCCAACTAAATATTTAGCTTTTATTGCAAGCTATTTCATGCTTTTGTTTTATTTAAAGTTGTACTCACCTGCAAACTGGCAATTTCCGAACGTCCGGCGCGTCGCCAAACGATGCTTGCCGGTGGATTGGCATCGGCGACGCAACGCAGGATAAGCGCATCCTTATCCTCCTCCAAGTCGATTTCCGGTGAGCCAATTAGACGGATCGTTGGCGCATCTGGAGAAAAGATAGACAGACGAGGGGGATAGGTAAGAATACATTTTGATAGGTGTATGCAGCAACAACAATAAAAAACTATATAATAACAAAAACAATGCCACAGCATAGCGGAAGCATTACAATTGTAGCAATAACAGTAAAAGTTGCCTTCGTTGCCGGTCTATGCCACCTGAGTGCTGCTATGTATTGACAACAATAATAAAGCCGTTAAGAAAACAATAAAAATTTCACAGTAAAAGGATTTGCGCCAATCCATTTGCGAGGTGATTTGAACGAAAAACAAGCGAGGGGGCAACAGCAAGCAAAACAACAAAAGAAATAAACCATAAATGGAATATTCAAAGAAAATACGAAACAAAACAAAAAAACGAAAGCGAAAAGTGTAGACAAAATGCGGCGTAGACACGAAAATGTATGTCCACAGACGGAAAATAAATGTTGACTATGCAACATGGCGGTGAGGGTGAGTGAAAGCGCGGAAATGTGAAAATTCGCAGTTAATTTAATTGATTTTCGCTGTGGCCGCGGCGGTGGCTGTACTCATGGCGGCATTCGTGTTGGCGGTATTGAAATCAAAACAAGGTAAACACAGAGCTTTCAAAAACGTACGAGTAGAAGGTACTACTGCAAGGTAGGTATGTATATGAGGAAACTGATGGAATTTGGCTTTTTGGCTGACTGCCAAATTGAAATATTGGCAGCCTAGCATAGTCAAATAGTCGACTGACTGGCTAGCCGGCGAACAACCTGGCTCTTGCCAAACAAATATATTAAAGTTGTTTGTGGAAAAAGGTGCAACATAGAAGTTCAAATGTGTTAACGCTACCCACACACACATGCATCACACAGCATTTTATATGTTTTGCAAATGTATTTGTTATAATTATACTTGGAGGGTGTTCGGTAAGCTTTTGCTGATTTGTGGCTTACTACATGGCTTACTACGTGACTGATGTGGTTGGTAAGCGGTCAGCGTAGTCGAAAATGAGTTGTGTAGGCTTGCATGCTTTAGTGTAACCATATTTAGAGCGCACAAAAATGTTAGGCGTAGCGAATAGAACAGTGAAACGAAAAATTAATTTAATTGAATTTCTACGAAAACAAAAGCGTCACACAAAATAAATAAAAGTCGGTCGTATTTAAGTTGTGGTATTTACGCGAATTATTGTAAATTGAATTGTATTGCATTGATTTGCGGTTAGGAAATGTAATTAATTTGACAAACCAATGACTTTGTGAACTAAATAAAAGAGCAATAAAATAAATAAAAAATAAAACAAGGAAAAATACGGAAGAGGAAGTTAAATAATTGAAAATGAATCCTGTAAAATGAAATAAAGGTGCAATCAAAACGGCAATTTTCATTAAAGTTTATTTGCAGAACATTAGAGCGTGCCACCTTATAAGCAAAACAAAAAAAAAATTCTCTTGAGTCTAAAGTAAATTTTGCAGGGTAATTTTGAGATATTTTTAACTGACCTCAAAAATGGAGGAGGTTATCAATTCGTCGAATATTTTTTTTTTTTTTTATGTATGCTACCGCATAGCTTTGCACCACGACAACCGATTTCCATAATTCTTTTTTTGAAAGCAAAGAGGTGGTGCCATACTAATTTGGTTTAGATCCGATTAGTTGATCATGAAAAAACTAACGGTACTCGGCAATTTTTATATGAGAATTGAGGTCGGTTTTGTTTTTTCTTTAAAAATGACTTGTTTTTTTCGAGGCCGAACTTGAGGTTCGCTTTTTTAAATTTTCTGTGATACAACTAACGGACATAATTTTTTTTAAATAGTTCTACTGGAATAATCAACATAATTCCTTACCAAAAGTTTAATGATTTTAGTCAGCTTTACAGCTCTTTTGACAGAAGCACTTGTGCATGTTTTAAATGGAGATGTACGCATATCATTTTGCTCGTGCTGCTCCAAATGTCGCAATGGCCAAATGAGCAAAGAATTTTTTCTTTTTTAATTTAATTTTCCTTTAATTTTTAGATGTTATTTTTTTTCAGAAAAAAAAATATTTATTTTTCAATTTCATTGCATTTTTAGAAACTTATTAACCTACTTACAAAAAAAACATTTTTTCGATAATACTTTTTTCTTATCGAAAAGGTGGTTCTTCAAAAGTTGCCCAATCATTGGATAATGAAGAATCTAACCGTATCGGTAATCGGTTATGTTTTTTGCTAAAAAATACTTTTTTTATGACTTTTTTTTAAGTTTAAAGTTTTTTCTTTTTAATTTAATTTCTAGATGTTAATGTTAAAAAACATAATTTTTTTTAATTTAATTTCTGGAACATATGTAAATTTTCTTTTTTTTAGTTTGATATTTATTCCATTTTTTGCAATTTTTAGAAACTCATGATTTAATTTTTTCGTTTTAATTTTTTTTAAATTTATTAAATTAAATAAATTTTTTTTCTTAAATTTTTGTGATTTTATAGTTTCAAAGAGAACACTCTTTTTTTAATTTCATATAATACTTAGAAAGTTAATTTATTTATTTTTTCTTATTTTTTTTTTTTAATAAAATTTTCTTTAAGATTTCAGTTTTTGTTGTTTTTAAATAGTATTTTTTTAAATTAAATTTTAAGAAAACTTATTGCTGAAATACAAGCTGAATACATATCTTTCAATTAGTCTTTTGAGAGGCAGAAAAGAGCTTTCGGGATAGTTGTCAGAATTGTCCAATTAATTTAATCTAAGTTTCGTACATAGTGGCCCGTAGTCATAGGGAAGTTGAAAAAAGGATTGAACGATTGAACCTTGAGCGATTGCAAACCATATTTGTTTTAATAAAAATAAAAATTTTTTCTATATTGCAGAGTTGATTTTTTCTCTTCATATGGATAGCTCTGTTCTCTCTCTTATCTTAACAAAAATCTGTTTCTAAGATGTATATGATTGATTCTAAACTTAAAACTTTATTTCAACAGGAATGAGTTTAAACGTATGACTATGACTATGTGCCAGTGAGTTTAACAATGCGCATTTTCAGATTTCGTAAAATTGTAAAAGACAGTAGTTAGTACACATAACATTAAAATAAATTTTAACACCAAATAAAAAAAAAAAAAAATATATATATATCCTGTGTGCTTCGTGTTTGTCATTAAATCCCTCTCAAACGTTCACAGTTTTTCATACGATTATAGGAGTATTCACATTTGCTTAAAGTATTTATGTATGTATGTACTTACATTTAACATCCATACGCGCCTCCACCGGCACCGATTTGGCCGTATAGGACTCATGAAAGGCCAAGCAACGTAAAATATCACCATGACGTTCACGCATAGCTGTCACCTGCACTACAGATGTTGCCGACCAGGTGCGAGGATTATCCGCTTCAGTGTTGTTGATTTGCGGATGAATGGGTTGAATCTCTTGGTCACCTTAAATACAAAAAAGGTAGTAATTACAAAAAAAGAAACTATTAACGTTAATAAGTAACAGTAAAAAAAGAGAGTTGAGTGTGTTAAAAAATATATAATTATGTATGTATCCGCATGTCTGTCATGAATAGTTGCGGTTAAATAAATAATTAATTAAAGTAAGCAGATAATTATGCGGGTGTTAAGGCGATAAGATAATAAAAAGGAAAAAAAAGGTTCTATGATAATAAAAAAGGAAAAAAAAACAGAAATGTCATAAAAAACTGCTACGAAAGCATAATTGTGTGAGTAAATGTAAATGGTAAAGTATATGTATGTACGTATGTATGTAAGGATTAAACAAGAGCGGCATGAACATTATTGCTACATATAGTAGGGAATGTAACATAGTGAGTGTAGTATCTATGTACATATAGGACTGATAGTGGCTGGTTGATGGGCATTTGCTGAATTTTATTTACTTGGATGCGTATGTACATACGTACATATGCAGTGCAAAATGTAAATGAAATGGCATATAGGTCAACTTGCAGCTTAGTGGAAAATTAGTGAATTTGCGTGAGTTGTTGACTGCCACAACTTAATAATGAAGATAACAGAAAACTACCATTATCATTATAACAAAAATGGGACTGCTTAGTGTATGATGGGAAATACTCGTAAACAGTGTTGGTAAAAATAATAGAAACACATAATAAATTAAGGTTTTGTTTTTTTAATAAAAAATACTTTCATACCAAAATTCAGCACGTATGTACGTATTTGAATGCCCACATCTGAGTATATGTATATACGTGTAAGTACCCTGCAGGAAACGGGGCTAGTTTATAGCTACTTATAACTATCGATCAGTCTACTAGTTCTACCTTTTTAGTTATTTCCTGGGTTAGGATTTTAATGCAGTTGCCTGTTTTATTTGTAAACAAAGTAAATAATCACACGTTTCATGTCTTCCTTGATTAAAAATCAAAAATTTTTATTTTGCCTTTTTTGACTATATTGCCTTTTCTGCATGTTTTGCCTTTTTAATATTTATCTATTCATAGAAGTACGATGTATTGTACCAATCGTGTGACTACAAAACAATTGTCGTCCCAATTGTTTTTTTTTATTTTGTACCAATCGTGTGACACTGGATTTAAATGTGCAATTTTTACGAAAGTTTTTGATTATAGCAAAAAGCTTTAAACTTGGATTTACACGGGTTTTGTTAAAGAATTAACTATAATTTTTTTTATAAAAAAAATATCCAAATTTAAATAACAACAAAAATAATATGTTAAAACTTGGGAAAAAGTGGTGCGACTATAATTTATTGACCACTATATGTATTTTTTTATATACTTAATTGGACATACATATATTTACATTGTACTAAAGGTATGTATGTATGTAACAAAATTAAAAAATAAATGCCTCTTTTTGCCTTTTTTGAAAGCTCATTTTGCCTTTTTTCAAGTTATTAGTGCCTTAAAATCCTAACACTGGTTATTACTTATCTCCTTCGGCCGTAACTAGCTACTTTTGGAGGGCGATGGCCGCAAAAAGGTGGGAACTGCTTTCCTCTTACTTGTAGCTGACTACTTTTGGACATAAAATATAAATGAAAATAAATTTTGAAATTTTTTACATTTTCATTTATTTACTTTATTTAACATTCTTTAGTAGGCGGTCCCATATTTTGATTCTATCAGACACAACATTAAAATGATAATATAAATATTCGACCTTATTTTATTTGCCCTGAATTGGAAAAAGCATCTGCGAAGTCCAGAAAAAACTGTATTCTATGTAATTTTTGTATGCGGATATTTAAATAGAAGCTTGTTTAGAGAAAACCAACTCCCGGTAATGTCTCCATGACACCTGCACGACTTTACAACTCACTTGAAGTTAGTTTTGTCATAGCTCATTAAAAGTTAGTTATTTATCGAAATCTCACAAAAAAGCCAACTATAAGTTGGTTAGTTTTTATCAATTGATATTTTTTTTTGCAGGTTGTACCAAGCATACACAGCGGTGACTACATATACAAATGCACTAATCACGTGCTGTGCGGTTGATTTAAACCCAACATTTGAAAGCAAATTTACATGCCCGGCTGTATCTGAGTTCGCAACGATCTCTGCATTGAAAAGCTGAACTAGCATTCACGAATTCCAGGTAATGAACTATTTTTTAAGCATAGAAGTCATACCAGTTCATTATGAACTAGAAGTAGACCAGTTCCGCGTAGAAAAAAGTAAACCAGTTGGTAGAAATTCTAGTTAGAAAACTGGTATTCAATGGGGAAGTCATACCAGTTCGTCGTAGACTATAATTATACCAGTTCTGCGCAGTGAAATGTCAAACCAGCCAGTAAAAATACCAGTTCATTACCTAATATATGCTAAAGCGATGGCCTGCCATTTCGAATAACTTAGGCGATCAGCGACATCTGTCTTTGAACTTCCAAAACCAAAACTAAAATACAGTTAATTGCTTTCCTCACAAATAGTGGCTGTCGCGTCGAGTAGAGGCTACCGATTCTGGTTGTGAGATCTCAGATTCGAGTCCGCTTGGGGGTGATTAAAATACTATAGTAAGTAAGTTATTTCAACAATTTAATTAAAAAGTAAAAAACTTAATTTTATTTGAAAAAAAAAACAATAGAATTCAAATATTACAAGAGACAAAGTAGAAAAAATAATAATAATGAAAGAAAATAAATAAAGTCCAAAAAAAATTCTTTGCAACAGATTCAACTTAGATCGCTGGAATGGCGCGCCAGAGCTTTAGTTTGTCGGCGGCCATTGCCACTGTTGCAGCGCCGCGAGAAAAAAAGGCACACTTACGCTTTTCACGGGGGGTAAATTGGCAGTCTATCCCGTCAACTGGTATGATGTTACTAGGATTTCTACTGGTAGCGTGCTGATGCAAGAGCGGACAATTGACATCTCCTAAAGCATCGCCATGTTAAAAAGACCAATCGCCAACATTGAAAAGGAATAAAACGCGAACTAGTTGGACTGAAAAGTTCACAACTAGTAGTTTTTCCAGCAGGTATGCTGTCCACAATTTGTTAGTTTCCAGATGGTCATGGTTCAACATTGAAAACAACATGCAAATTAATTTTATTTTATTTTTTTTTGTGAAAAATGCCTTGTAAAAGTGGCTTTTAGAAATATCTTCAAGGACAATAGTTTTTTTGCATTTTTTAATAGATTTTTTTTTTGTCTATCTTCTTGAAGCAATTTTTTGAATAAAATTATTGCCTTATATACTCATATATTTCAATTCTTCAATGTTGTCTTCGGTTCACATACAGATTTTTGAAAACAAAATGCAAATTATCAAACAGAGAAACTAAGGCTTATATCGATTATTTTTCCCAACACTGCACCAAGAGCGATGAAATCTTGAATTTTCCGTAAATTTTTGGGACACAGAATTTTGATCGAATTACTTTCATTAATGTTCTTTACTTACCAAGATACCATTTGAGCGTCGCCGGCGGATTGCCATAGTGCGATACACATTTAACGGTCGCCAGTGCGCCTGACTCTATGGTTATATTATGACCGGGCGGCACATGTGCACCCTCATACTCCAGGCGTGGACGTTGTGGCACAACTGCGAAATAAGTGAGAAAATGAAATAAGTGAGAAAATTATATTTGTAATTAAAGAGTGGAAATAAATATGTGAGGGATGTGCAAAGTAATTGAGCTGCTGCACAAACACCAAAGCAAATGAAACACAAATTATTACGAAGACATAGATACATACAAAAGGCTGAGGAGGCGTATGAGTAATGCATGCTTCGCTAGTACAGCCTCTGCTCGTAACTCTCTACTCTGTTCCAGCTATACTAGTAGGTGATTGCTATTGCGTGGTCGCATTAATGTCATGTACCATTGCCGCAATCAGGAAGAGGAAGTTTGTATGGCTTTGTTAGCAAGCTCAGGGAACCGACAAACACATACATAGAAATGCGGGTTTATGCACTTTAATTAAATTGAAGGTAACACATATGTAAGTACACACACATACACAGCTAGGTAAATGTTAAATCGCACTTTGACCAAAGTTCGTAATCGGATAGGGCTTAATTGTATGAGGTGTATATGTATGTATGTATGTATGTTGAGATGAAAGTCAGCAGCGGCAGGTACAGTTACGCTTAAATAGCTACATATGTACATATGTACATACTCGTACACATCTGTAAGCATATACATATGTATGTATGTACATTAGACTGCATCAGCAAAAAAAGTTGCGGTTTTTCCGAAGGGCATCACAAAACTTATTATATTTGAAGACGTCCCTCAAATTAATTCGCAAAAATATTAAGATTTACGTGAGCTGCACCGAATTGAAAATACTTCCAAAAATGGAGTTTTATATTTATAAAAATATTTTCCTAAAGAACTTTTTGAAAAAATTCCCCTAAGATGACAAAACAGTCTAAGAATTGAAAATAGTTCCAAAAATGGAGTTTTATATTTATAAAAATATTTTCCTAAAGAACTTTTTAAAAAAATTCCCCTAAGATGACAAAACAGTCTAAGCTTAAAAAATCCGAAAAATTTTAAATTTGAAAGAAAAATTTGAGTAACTGGGCCAAAACTTTCCCGATTTAAATAAACTTATAAGGTATCAGTGGAAAGGTATTTTTCCACTATTTTTCTTTACATATGTATGTAAAAGAATTCATTCGCGTCCCATTTTATTTTATTTTTTTAAACACCAACACATCTTTATTCAACTTGGAATTACGCTCGTTAATCCTACCTTTCTAGTTCACATTTGAAATAAGATCATTTGTGTAGAAATAAGCGTGCGAAAATACCTTTCCAATGATACCCCAAAAATCTAAATCGGAATAGTTTTGGTCCAGTTATTGAAGAATTTCTTACACCAGCCTTTGAAAAAAGTTGAAAAACAGCATAAAAATCTCATTACTACGATTTCGTTGAAATTTATTTTTTTTTAATATTTTTATGCAAATTTTTCAAGCTTAAACTGTTTTGTCGTCTCTGGGGATTTTTTTTGTTTAGTTTCTTTAAGAAACTTTTTTTATTCCCAAAAAACTCAATTTTTGGAGGTTTCACGTAAATCTTAATATTTTTCCAAAATATTGTGGTGCAGGTCTTAAAGTATCATAGACTTTATAATTTCAATGGAGATACGGAACCAATTTTTTTTTTTTGTATGGGGAGTGATCCAGTCTAATGTACATCTATGTGTGTGCCCCTCTCATTCATTAAGATGTGTGTAAATGCGTTTTATACAAGCACCTTGCTGCATCTTTAGCTGCAGCATAGCAACTGTTGAGTGCAGGTCAACTAGTTTGCTTTTTATTTTAGTTGCATTACCATCTGCTCCAGTACACCTGAGGCTAATGATACGCAAACTTAAGCAGAGAGTTCAGCAGTCTACTACTCACTAGCGCTACTCAGCAGCTATAACGGAAACGGAAGTATTTTGCACACAAACTCAAGCAAGCAAATTCTGAAGATACACACATACTATTTAGTGTGTATGTATGTATGTATGTATGTATGAGTTGAGAGCCACAGCAATTGTAGCCAACGTGTTGGAAAATTAGATAAGATTTAAAATTAATTAAGTTTTAAGAGGTCAGCCATAGCTTGAGCCAAAGCAACAGGATAGCAAATTAGTTAGATTGGCCTCAGCTGTAACCACTATCCATTTTGTTTGTTTGTTTTTTCTTTGCATTTCTTTTTTAAACATTTCGCCTTGGTAAGTCTTCGGTTAGTTTGGTCGGTGTTAAAATGGGCGACAACCTGCGGCAACATAATTTAATTAGCTTGCTGTATAGACGTACGCTTTATGTACTTAAATGACAAGTTTAAGAAAGCATGTTTGAAAATTAAGGAGGCAGTTTAAGTTGTACATATGAGGTCTTCAAGTAGGTAGCGAAGGACAGCAAGAGCTTTTACTAAATATGTGCGCTTGCAATTAAAATCTATACATAGCTTAAAAGAGCTGCTCCACGGGATATGTTAGCGAGCTTGCCGGTTATGCATTTTACAAAAAAAAAAAAAATCGTGATGATAACTTTTGGCTTTGTTATTTTCCAGACATTGATAAAAATCAAAGTTTGAATGTTCTGTCTTTTTCGAGACAGACATCAGTATACTGCGATTAAATCGATTGCTTCAGGAATCCTTCAAGTGCAAAAATTGCGGTTTAGAGAAAACTGAAAAACAGAAACTTTTGATGGGATTGAAGGCATTTTTATTGAAAATAATTACATAGTACAACAGTTTTTCGAAAAAGGTCATTAACACGGACAAAGGCTTAAAATTATGAACTCCTACTTAAATGGGCATTTTTGACCCGTTCTCAAAACAGTTCTTATGAAAGATCGTTAAAAAAGACACTTGGTTGATAAAGAAGGTATAAAATCTTAATATAACTATAAATAATAAAGCGTTTAGATTTAGTTTCTATAGAACACTGGCATGTCGGGCCCTTACCGCCAAAAAGTCGTAAACGAAATTTTTTTCAAAATTTTCTTTTTGATGCAGAAATGTTCCTAGAGCATCTAAATGTATTTCTGCATCAAAAATAAAAATTAGAAGCAAATGTCGCTTACGTCTTTTTGGCGGTTAGGGCTCGATATTTTAAGTGAATTTTAGAATACTTTTCTTAGCATAAGTTCTATGGCGGGAGAAGTCTTTGCAGAAGAGCCAAATTTTTTTCAATTTATTTTTTTAATTCCATACAAATCGATCCGTTCTAATGCTCATCAGTGTAGGTGTTGGCAATGTATCTATGCTAAATGTGTAAAACTCATAAACTAAGCTCTATTATGCACCCGTAAATTTGTCTGCTTAAAATTTTCGTGGAACATTTTAACCGTCCAAGTGCCTTTTGTATCGACCTTCCATTATACTAGCGGTTAGAGGGTTAAAATTTACTACAAAAATGTTCTCATTAAATTCCTCTGCAGATATCTGGGAAGAGAAATTACATTTGAACTCGTTTTATAAATAATTTTTCCGGTAATTTAATTACCGAACTAGTATTTACTACATCTGACAATGTTGGTCTGGGGGTTATTCTCTTACGTAATTATTAGCGTTTGTTCAGGTTGAGTAACTGTTGTTGGACAGTGTTATAATTACCAGTTTTTTATGAAAGACAACTAACTTTTTTTTTTTATAATTAAATTTTACTTTAAATTTGTTTTTGTGGTCATTAGCAAATAAAAGTCTCATTGGATTAAACAGAAATGTTTATTTTGTTTTAGTTTTTCGTTTTCGTGAAGAACATACAAAAATTCTAAAAAACATACAGAAGCTCTGGAAAAACAAAAATCATAACCTTCAAACTAAGATTATCTACAAACTAAACTTAAAGTTTTCGGTAGTCGGCTACTCAAAGAAAAAAGAAAAAAATACCTCGACGTGTTGACAATGCAGATGTTCTAGTACGACGCATCAAAAATTTCCCATGTGGTGTGATGCATCGATGTATACATTTTTTTTTTTTGAAAATCGACATCTCTAGTATACCCAACCGCAATGCACAAGGTTTGGAACTCTGATTTTTGGGCTTTTTATTATAGAATTAACAATATTTTTATAAAAAAAAATTAGCGAAAAATAAAATATTTAAAAAATAGTTGCCGGTATTGTAAAAAATTCGCTGTACCTAAACTTTATTGACTGACTGTATATTTATGCACCATGCTGGACAGTATGCAACGGATCGAGAATACCCCTAATGTAAATTTCGCTGCATCGGAGCAAAGAAATACACACAGTTTACTGCAGCAAGCCGATAAGCAACATCACCTGAAGAGTTTCTGTAGTAAACGCTTTTAATTGCTGTAGATTTAACAGCCTTAGGGATATTATTTTTTATTTCTGGCGGGTTTATGCACTAATTGGAGCGCTTACTTTCAAAGAAAAATATTTAATTATTAACTCATTTTTGTTTATTTTGGAATTTGAGGGGATTTCTGAAATAATCGATTCACTTATTACTTACTTTAACGTACCCATCAGGATACTAATTGGTGCTAAATACCCCATTACCAGGGGTAGGCAAAATTGCTTCTAGTAAAATATTATCTTAATACTTACATACTTGAGGGCCAAGTTTTTTGGACTTTTTTTTTAAGTATTTGTGCTACTTTGCAGTATACTTTGTGTTATATTTTGGGGTGATGCGGAATTCTTAGGGATTTTCATAACTACTTCGAGATTATCGGGCCTGTGTCGAGATTTCGGGTCTGTTTCGGAACTATGGAGGGTATTTTGGGGTACTCCTGACTATTCTGGTGGTTTCGGGACCACTTCAGGATTCTCTGGAATATTTTGGGATTTTCAAGACTATTTTGGGATTTCGTAAGTAACGGGTGATTTTTTAAGAGCTTGATACCTTTTTTTTTAAAAAAAAACGCATAAAATTTGCAAAATCTCATCGGTTCTTTATTTGA